GTAGTCTCTGCCTCGGGTAAGATGCTTCAGGAGGGCTGTGACCAGGTAACTGCCTCACATTCTGAAACCCACACTCTCCTCCAGCTCAAGAAAGGACAGAATAACACAGACTAGTGGAGGTCCAGTGGAGGTCATTGTTTTTAGGGGTACACTGGGATCACACTTGGAAGCACCTTCCACCTAGTAATTCGCCAGATGTGGACGTGGAGGTGTGGGGTGTACATCAGTGAACCCAGGACTTCCTGAAACCTGTATTATGTTCCTTCCCTTAACTGCCAAGAGCTTCACTAGCTCTAGGCAGGGGGTGATGCACAGAAGCTGAATGCCTCAGAGCATCGCCAAGGCGACAGGAGATACAGGAGGACCCAACTCATTCTTTATTCTTGCTAAGATTCTGGATTTCTACTGCAGTGTTGCTTTAGAGGGATGCCTAAGACAGCGCTTCTCAAATTCTGAATACCTGCATCAATTACCCAGAGGTTCTTAAGGCAGACTCAGATTCTTGAGGTCTGGGTAGACCTGAGATTCTGCATTTTTAGCAAGCTCCCAAATGAGGCCAGGGTCACTGTTCCCTGGCCACATTTCAAGTAGCAAGTGCCTAAGGATCTAAGAGATCAGGACGTATCAGAGCCAGAGACAGATAAGACAGAGACTGAGAATTGATACCCAGAAGCAAGAGACAGAAAGACAGAAACAATGGGGCACACAAATAGAGTCAGAGCCTGAGATGGGAACAGAGAAAGTCTGGGTGACAAAAAGAAGGACCAAGAGGACAGAGTTGGAGAAACAGAGACTGGCAAAGATGGAGTCGGGGTCAGGGAGGAGGTAAGGTAAAGAGCAAGGAAGGAGAGGCTGGTGCTGGCTGTGGACATCCTGCGACCAGCCAGGCTCTAGCATGGGCTTTGTATCCTGATCAGCGGTGAAGGAGACCGAGGTGCTGGTGGGATGAGACTTTCAGGGTGGCAGGTGCACAGACCTGAGATCCCTGCCCCCCCCTTGCTTCCCTGGCCCACCTGCCTTCCTGTATTTTCATCACCCTCCCCTTACTCCTGCACAGCTGTCCCTCCCCGTGAAAACTTCCACTACTAATTTCTCCTTCTCTCTCCCATGGACTCAACCTCTTTTAATGTGCCCTTCCCAGAAGATTTTTTTTTCAGTTGGAGTCTCACTCTGTTGCCCAGGCTGGAGTGCAGCGGCATGCTGATGGCCACCGCACTCTCCACCTGCTGGGCTCAGGAGATCCTTCCTTCAAATAGCTTGTCTTTCCCACCTGAGATCAAAAGGCTCGCATGTGACTCCTGTCTCTTCCCAGCACCTGTCCCTATGTCTCTCCCCCCTTCTCAGCTAAACTTCTTGAAGAATTGTTGGCTTCCATTCCCTTCCCCAAGCAGCTATGGCTGAGGCTGTTGTTGACACACACATCGCTAAGTCCCATGGTCACTTTCCAGTCCTCTTGCCTGCTCCCTCCCTACTTCTTGCTGGCATCTGGGACTTGATACTCCCTGGGTTGTCCTCTGGTCTGCTCCTTCCCTGACTCCTCTGCCCACTCATACTCTATGACCTGGTCTTTGGAGGGACACAGAGCCAGGTCCTGAGCCCTCTCTTCACCTGGGGCCCTCTTTTCAGTTGAGCTCTTCCAAGCTCACAGCCTCAATTGTCTTCCCCATACCATTTTAGACTTCAGGTCAAACTTCCCCTGTGCATCTAGCCTTGTATTTCTATCTAGGCAATGTCTGCTTCCTGTCATCACCAGGGTCTTGCAGAGGTACCACAAATGCAATGGGCTCCAAACCAGATTTATGTTCTTTCTCTTCTCAGTTTCCCATCTCAGACACCACCCTATCACTGTCTGGGTGTTCTATCCTTGATACCTCCTCTCCCTCTCTCCTTTCTTTATCCAGTGCTTCATCAAACTCTGGAAACTTTCTCCTCCAATACTTTTTGACTTTTCACATCTCTCCATTTTCACTGCCACCACCCTAGTCCAAGCCTCCAGCTTCTCTCACCTGTATGACAGCAACAGTCTCCTAAGCATCCACTCTCCAATTTGTCTTCCATGCTACAGACAATGCGATGCTTGCAAAACACAAATCTGGTCATGTTGGCTTGCAGCTTAAAACCTTTCAGCAGCCTCCCTTGCTCTGAGAGCAAATGCTCAATTCCAAATGACCTTCCTGGAATCATCTCACCTCATTTGCCCTGCAAGCTATGCTGACTATAGTCCTTCTGACTATACTGGCTTTCTTTCAGTTCCTTAACAAAGCTACCTTCTGTCTCAGGACATTTGCATGTGCTTTACCCTCTATGTTAAACTGTGCTGTCCAATACAGTAGCCACTGGCCACAAGTGGCTAATGAGCACTTGAAATATGGCTATTGGGCCAGGTGCAGTGGCTCACACCTATAATCCCAGCACTTTGGGAGGCCAAGGTGAGAGGATGGCCTGAGTTCATAGGTTGGAGACCAGCCTGGGCAACTTGGCAAGACCTCATCTCTACAATAAATTAAAAAATCAGCCAGGCGTGGTGGCACATGCCTGTAGTTCCAGCTACTTGGAAGCCTGAGGCGGAAGGATCACCTGAGCCCAGCAGGTGGAGGCTGTAGTGGCCATGAGTGTGCCAACTGCATTCCAGCCTAGGCACAGAGTGAGACGCCAACTAAAAAAGAAATATGGCTAGTGCAACGGAAGAACTAAATTGCTAATGTTATTTGCTTTTAATTAATTACATTTAAAATTTGAAATCTTGCATTCCATTTGGTTACTGAAACATTGTTAAGTATTCTGAAAACAATTTAAGTATGTGCATTTTATTTTTCAGCTTTAGTTTTTATAAAGTCTAAATGCAGATCAGGTATTTCTGGTGAAAATTTAGTATTCAAATTGAGATATCCTGTAAGTGTAAAGCTGTTGAAAAATTTAGTTTGAAAGATCTCACTAAGCCCGGGCTCGGTGGCTCAGCCTGTAATCCCAGCATTTTGGGAGACTGAGGTGAGTGGACTGCCTGAACCTGCGGGTTCGAGACCCGCCTGGGCGACTTGGTGATACCTCATCTCTACAATAAAATAAAAAAATTTAGCCAGGCGTGGTAGCTCACACCTGTAGTTCCAGCTACTTGGAAGGCTGAGGCAGAAGGATCTCTGGAGCCCAGCAGGTCGAGGCTGCAGTGGCTGGGAGTGAGCCACTGCACTCCAGTCTGGGTGACAGAGTGAGACTCCAACTCAAAAAAAAAAAAAAATAAACAAACAAGCGAAAAATTAGCTGGGCATCGTAGTGCACACCTGTAGTTCCGGCTACTTGGAAGACTGAGGCAGAAGGATCAATGGAGCCCAGCAGGTCAACGCTGGGGTAGCTGTGAGTGTGCCACTGCACTCCAGCCTGTGTGATGGAGTGAGAATCCAACTCAAAAAAAAAAAAAAAGATCTCACTAATAATTTTTTATAATCTTGCATATATTTGGTTAAATAACAGATATAATTAAAATTAACTTCACCTCTTTCTTTTTGCTTTTTAAACTGTGGCTACTAGAACATTTAAAATTTCATATGTGGCTCACATACTTCTATTGGACAGTACCAGTCTTTGTCCTAATTTCTTTTGCACATCCTTCTGAACTTGGCTCAAATATCATGTCTGCTGAGAAGGCTCCCTGAGATCAATCCTTTTGTTTTTCTTCCATTGTATTTACTTTCATAGCTACATGTACAGGCCAGTGGTTGCCTGCCCTGAACTCCATCCATTTGTGATTATACGCTTGTTTGTATGACTATTTGATGCACGCCTGTCTTCCCCACTTTAAGCTCCGGGAGAGCAGGGCCCATGTCTGTCTGGCTCCCCACTGGAAGCCAAGCACCTAGTCCAGAGCCTGGCACCCACACACTTCAGAAAGCCACAAGAGGTCATTCCATCTACTGCCTTGCCTGTGGATAGCACTATCCCCAACCATGGCAGAAAGCCCATACTCCCTTCCCCTAGCAGTGCCATGCGAGCTCTTCAGTATGTAGATTCTGCCACTCCCAGATGGAAAGTCCTCCTTTATAGTTGACCAGAATCCCTCCCACTGCAAACTGGCCAGGGCCCCATTCCATCCTTAGGGGGAATTAGATCAGCACTTCTCACACTTGGATACACATGCCAATCATCTGGAATCTCCTTAAGATGAAGACTCTGGCTCATCAGGTCTGGGATGGGACCTGGATTCTCACTCATCCCTAACAAGCTGCTTTGTGACAGCATTGCTGCCAGGCCACAGCCCACTCTTTGAGTAACAAAGATGCAGGAAGCCTGTTTACTGCCCTCAGAGTATCCTTCCTGCCCTGCCCCTCTGCTGAGGAGGCTGTTCGGCATCTCTTGAAATTCAGTCCTATCCTTCCTCGCTTCCATGTGGAACTCACCAATCCTTGCACCCTGAGAAGGAATGTGGTGCCCGTGGCTACTGCCATCGTTGATTTATTTTTAATTTGAAATAAACCTTTAAGCAGTTCAGAGTCAGGTCAGCCCTGGTATGTATCATGGATGGGTAACAATACTCTCCAATGATAAAGTCACACAGCTGGGAATGTTGAACAGGATGGGAAGAAGGCTTCGCCCCCCAGGTCCCCAGCAGTCCTCAAGCTTGGCTCGCATCTGCCACACTCAGCCAATTGGATCCCAGCAGCTCTTCCAGAAGGCTCCACTCTGCAAAGTTTGGGCTTGGATGCTGGGAAACGTTGTCTCTGACATGTCCGCTGGGAGCATCATAAACCAAGCGTGTACCACTGGGCCGGAGGGATGGAAATGTCTTCTGGTGGCCTCAGTTGTGTGTGTGTGTGTGTGTGTGTGTGCGTGTGTGTATGGTTGCCTATTTGGACATGGAGTTTGTGTGTGTGTGTGTGTCTGTGTGTGCATGGATGGATGGAGTGTGTGTGTGTATGCGTTGTCCTCGACGCTCCAGTTCAGGCAAGCTTTCATCGCAGAGCATTGCTGGACCTTTTCTGCATGGGCCTGAAGGTTGGACAACAGCCCTAGGTAGGCCCTGCAGACGTGAGTGGCCCCGCTGTCCCTTGCTGCTGCTGCTGTTGCTGCCCCTTGCGTCTCCGAGAGCCAGTGCCTGCCTCCTTGCTCTCCTTCCTGGCCGGGTTCCTGTTGGTGTTCTCCCTCCGGCCCTGGCCTCCCTTTCTCCTCTTCTGCCCTGCAACAACCCAACAGCAGGAAGAATCAATAAAGGACTTGCAAAGGGCCCCACAGGGGCATGGGAAGGCACTGGGTAGAGGACGCTGCCTTTAGGTAGTCAGGTCACTTTGGCCTCCTCTGCCAGCAGCCACTTTGGAGGACCCTTGGCATGGGTGCTGAGAGGGAGTCCCAAGAGCTTTTTCACCTCCCAACCCTCAATGCACACCATCATCTTCCTCATGGCTTCCTCAGGCCTTAGATTACAATGGGCCAAGAGTACTTCCCAGATGTCCAGTGCAGCCCTAGGACAGGCAGGATGGCCCCCCAATCCTCTGTCCCCCACCCCTACCAGCTGCCTCTGGGGCCAGGCAATGGGCAAAGTCACCACCTCATTGCCAACTGCAGGCTGTGTCACCTTGGTGAAATTGCTACACCTCTCTGGGTCCTAGTGCCCTTTTCCATGCCTCCATCTGATCTCTGAGGGCTTTCTAGCACGAACATCCACTGGCTCAGAAGAAATGGGGAAACTGGAGGGATAGTGACTACAGAAACTTCCAGCTCCCTTTAGAGTTCTGTGGCCTTCCTCTCTGCAGGACATGGCACCTGGTTTGGACAGCATAGGGTGCTGACTTGAGGACACGCCATCTGGCCTTCCCCAAGGTCCTCTGCTGAGCATCAGACAGGACACTGAGCTGATGGGCCTTCTGTGGCTGGTGCCTGAGCCCTGACCCCAAGGAGGCAGAGGTTGCAGCTCACCTTCAGGACATGGCAACCTCCGCACTGTGCACCTCCGAGTCTCCTTGGTATCAGAGCAGGTGGCATGGTCACCCCCGGGGGCATGGAGCACCCTGCGTGTCCGCTCCTCGGAGCCCCTCCGGAAACCACAGAGCTTCTTCTTCTTGGAACAGGGCCCCCATTGGGACCACTCGCTCATTTCACAGTGTGCTGGCAGGAAGAGAGGGAAGAGGGAGAGAAGGAAGAGGAGAAGGGAGTCACATTTCCTTCTCTGGCCCAAAATACCCCAGGGGAGCCTCTCCCACCTGCTCTCTGCCTGGGCCTCAGGCCAGAGGCATCTTTAGTCCCAAGGGTGAAAAAGTCCTTAGAGAAATCCCTGAAAGTGGTGGTGGGGTAAGCTCTCCCAGCTCAGTGCCCCTGCCCACACACTCCCTGGCCAGACCCCACTTCACCCCTCTGCTGGGGTCCTGGACTCTCTGCCAGCTGAACACCCCATGACTTACCAGGACTGCTGCACTCCATGGTGCCATTGGCAGCTGAAGAGCCCTCAGGGCAGGCCGGATAACAGCGGCCCTTGTGCAAGTACAAGCCCTCTTTACACTTGGTGCAGAAGTTGTGGCTGAAGCAGGCTTCGCAGTGTTCGATCTTGCATTCTGTGGAGAGGACAGAGTGTGGCTTCTGGCCCAGTCTGGAGCCAACATTTCTGTCATCCCCAGCCCCAACACCCTGCCATCCACACCCACCACACGGAGGGCAGGACCCTGGCCTAGAGCTGCTACTGCTACAGAGGAGGCTTAGAAGGGGAGGGAGAGTAGGCCAGGCAAGAGGAGGCTGAAATGGCTGCTCTTGAGAGCTGGCTAGGACTTTTGCCATCGCCAGTCATTCTAACTCAAACCCAGTCTGGGACCCAGGAGAGGCCCAAGAGAGCTGATTTCAGAGGAGGGGCGTAGGGCCCTCTGGGCGTGAGAGTGAGAGAGGAGTACTTCACTGTCTCATGGCCCCTCAGAGGGCAACCCCATTTGGAGTTGAACTGAGGTACAAAAAGGTTCTCGGAGAGAACCTGTGTGGCCTCCTCCTCCCCCATCGCTGGGCATCCGCAATGTCCCAAACCTGGTTCTCCTCCTGCCTGGGATAGAAAGAATCTGCTTGGAGGAGCGGGAAGCAATCCCGGGGCACATTCCTCTCCCTGTACAAGGCTGAGTTCCAGGAACCACCTTGGTTGGGCTCCTGGGTCCCTCCCTGATTCCCTCTGCCAGTTCTCTCCAGTGGGGGCATGGGAGGAGGGTGGGCCGTACAGGGCTTGGCTGGAAGCAGGCAGGATCTTTCACAACCTTTCCTTCCCAGAGCGCATGTGGGACCGACTTCCTCCCAGTGTCTGGCACCGGTGCCCACACAGCCCAGAGCGCTGGACCCCAAACAGCCTGAGGACCCAGAGGGCAGCTCCCAGGGTCTCACCTCCACCCTCACGAGCTGCCCACACTCCTCTGTGCCTCCCAGCCCCTGGGGCTTTATCTCAGCCTTACTTCCCACTTTCTCTTCTTCCCTCCCTTCCTGAAGCTCTTGATTCCTTGGTTGGTTGCCAGGAAAACCAGAATAAAACAATAGCAGCCACCACTGGTCGAGGGCCAGATGCTAAGAGTTGTACATGTGCATCTCACAACAACCCCAGGGGCTAAAAACTCTTCTTAAAGGTGAGGTGTTGAGGTAGAGACAGGCTCAAGGTCACACACGGAATAAATAGCAGAGCTAAGATCAGAACCCAGATGGCTAATCTTGGGCCAGTCATTTCCCTGCCTTCTAAAAAGGGCACCATCACTCTTGTTCCACTTCCCTCCAAAGGTTGTTGTGAGGCTCAGCTGGTAGGCAGTCTGGACATGCCTTCTAATCTGCAAGGCACTGAATCAATGGGCAGGGGGGCATCGATCAACCGAGTGTGTTCACAGCATGTCCCCAGCAGGTCACGGCTGCAGCAGAGATGGGGTGGAGACATGACAGCGCAAGGCATGTGGAACTGAAGCTGGTGTGGACAAGTGGGGCAAGAAGCCCAAGGGGAGAAGAGGATGGAGGAGCAGACTGATGGGCTTGGGTTTCCTTCCAGTTTTGGGGAGCTGCAGTGGTTGTCAAGCAGAAGTGTGAGGGGTAGGTGTGTTAGAGAAGTGAGAGGGGGTAGGTGTGTAACTGAGAAGTGTGAGGGGGTAGGTGTGTATCTGAAAAGTGTGAAGGGTAGGTGTGTGGCTCAGAAGTGTGAGGGGGTAAGTGTGTGTCTCAGAAGTACCTTTCCAGCTGCTGTTCAGAGGGCAGGGTAGGGAGCCAGATGAACGGGCTATCCCAATGGGAGTCAGATGAACAGACTATACCAATGAGAGCCCAATGGGAGCCGGATGAAAGGGCTGTTCCAATGGACCAGGAGGAGGTGATGGGAGCCTGGATGAGACTGTGACAGTGAGGACAAAAAAGCTGGCAACTGGATTGATGGGGTGGCAACACAAAGGCAAGAAGGTGACACTCAGGTTTGTGGCTTGGTGTCAGGTTAGATATTGTCAGTGACCTGTGAGCATAGAGGTGGGTACCTGTGTAGCAGGATGAGATGGGGCTCTAGCATGGACATGCTGAACTGGGTGAGAGCTGTCTGGGTTCACCTCCTCTCCTCGGTGCCCCTCCTACTCCTCCCACCAGCCACCAACGTTCAAAGCACCCTCCCCAGGCCAGAGCCCGAGGCGCCCCTCTGCAGCCTGCCCACACTCACTGATGCACTTGTTCATGTCGGGGTTGCGGGCGTCAAAGTATCCAGGTGGGCAGGACGGCAAGCAGACGCCCACCTGGCGGATGTCGTTCCTCTCCAACAGGATGAACAGCTTGGGTGAGCACTTGAGGCAGCCGTTGACCTCTGAGCAGAGCTCACAGCCTTTGGCACAGGCCTGGCTCCCCTCGGTACTGACTGCAAGGGTGGAGCAAGGGTGGAGCAAGCGTGAGAAGGCAGCCTAGGAAAGACCCCAACCTTCCAACCTCCCACAAGGTGGGAAGTGAACAGGTTGGAGTTTCCTTCTAGAGAAGGAATGTGCTTTTCAGAAGGCTCAGGCCCAGCTGGCTGTTCTCTGCAAAGCTGCTTTATAGACCTTCCCTGTATGCTCTCTCCAGGGAACTAGCACAGATGCCTGGAGCAAGAGCCCCACAATGCCACCGCCTCCCTCGCCCCAGGCACAATACAAGCTCACACTCTAAGCTACACTCCTCCCTGCCCAGAGAAAGGACTGAAGGTGCACCTTCCTGGAACTCACCCCGACTTTCCCCTGAGCAAGAAAAATTCAGCCTCAGGTACGGTAGGAGGGTTAGTAAGTCCCTGAGACAGTTTTAAGGACACGAGGGATAAAGGGTTAAACTGAGGAAAAGGCCACCTGCCCAGAGACAGGAAGACAACTGGAATAACCTAGTCTAGAACAGTGGTCTCAACCAGGATGATCTTGCTCCCCAGGGGACATTTGGCAGTGCCTAGAGACATTCCTTTTTCTTTTCTTTCTTCTTTTTTTTTTTGAGTTGAGATCTTACTCTGTTGCCCAGGCTGGAGTATAGTGGCACAATCACAGCTCACTGTAGCCTCGACTTCCTGGGCTCGGATGATCCTTCCACCTTAACCTCCCAAGTAACTGGGATTACAGGCATGTGCTACCACACCCAGCTAATTTTTTAAATTTCTTGCAGAGACAAAGTCTCACTGTGTTGTTTAGGCTAGTCTCAAACTTTTGGGCTCAAACTCTTGGGCTCAAGCAATCCTCTCACCATGGCCTTTCAGAGTGCTGGGATTACAGGTGTGAGCCACTGTGCCCAGCCCTCCTAGAGATAGCTCTGATGATCACAGCTGGAAAGAAAGGTTGCTACTGGCACAAGGGAATAGAGGCCAGGGATGCTATTAAACATCCCACAATGCTGTGTCATCTTTTTTTTTTTTAAAGCAGGATTTATTGAGAGGACAGAAAAGCTCTCACAGCAGGAGGGGACCTGAGGGGGTTGCCTCGCCTTGTCATCTTCTATCCTAGCATCAAGTCTCAGACCTCTGATCTCATTCCCTCATTTACTTGTTCAGCCAACACCCACCATATCCCTCCCACACATCACAAACAGTGTGAGCCCTGGGTACAGTAACTCTGTAGAGGAACTCATCTTTCTGTGGAGAAGACCCCATGAGTGGAAAATGCTGACAGTCATGGGGCCAAGCAATTGTGCATGCAAAGACCCAAAGGAGGTGTCACTGTGACCAGCTCTTGGAGAATTAGTAGAGACTTGTCCTTTAGGAAGAAGAGTTAAGGGCACTCAGGGAGCAGGACCACAGAGGTATAAAATTACCTAAGGTGGTGGGGGAGGGGTGGATGGCAGAAACTTGGGGTGGAGGTGGGAATAAGAGGAGAGTAGTAAAAGATACTGTGTCCTTGATCCGCTAAGTGACATTTCCCAGAGTGTTCCTCGCACTATGATTGCCCCAAATGTTAACAGGAGGATATGGAAAAAGGGCTACTATGTCAGGTGAGACCAGGAACCAGTAGATCAAACAGATCTCAACAGGGTTCTTTACTGCAAGGCTTCCTGCAGTGGGGACAGAGTGAGCTGCATTTCCCAATCATTTTGGCCACAGAACAGTTGTTTTGCAGAGTTTTTCTTGGGACCTTCTCAGAGCCATTTAGACAACGGGGAGTCATTGGTAAATTTTAAGCAGGGGTAAGACCTGGTCCAATTTACATACTGGAAAGTTTCCTCTGGCAGTCAGGGTGGAAACCAGAGACAGGTGGGAAAGGTGAGAAAGTTTTTTGGTTTTTTTGTTTTTTAAATGAGAGACAGGGTCTCGCTATGCAACTAAGGCTGATCTCAAACCCCTGGGCTCAAGCAATCCTCCCACCTTAGCCTCTCAAGTAGTTAGGACTACAGGTACATGCCACCACTCCCAGCTTAAGTCTCAGAGTTCTGCTCAGTGAAGACGGAGAGGAAAAGGTTGATCTGAGAGGTGCTTAGGGAATGCAGTTAGCAGACCATAGTGGCTAACAGGCAGATAGGAGTGGGGAGGAGCCTGGAGTGATTTCCAGGTGTTTGGTGTGGGTGAACCATGGGGCCAGACATGAAAAGAAGTTCATGAGAAGAGAACTGAGTTGAGAAGGAAGGAGAGGAAGAAAGGCGTTATGATGCACTTAGGAGGAACGAGGCAGAGAGGAGCTGCAGGTGGGGTGGAGACAGAGTGCTAGGACGATCAGAACAGAGATGGCGGGAGACGGCACAGCACAGTGGTCCCGGAGCTCAGGCTTCAGAGTCACCTGGACCTTGAGCTAGACTCCAAGCTTGGGAGCCTGGGGAAAATAATACAGAATCTCAGGAGATGAGGGTGCCCACTCTGGAGGGCTGCCAGGGGAGTCTAGGCTCCAGGAACGATTCCTGATTTCAGAGCAGGATAAGGTGTAAGAGTGAGGAAGTCAAGCAGAAGGACGTAGGGCAATAACAAACACAACGATCACCATAAGAACACAGCAATAACCGTCATGGTGGCAGCATATTACTGTGTCAAGCCAGTATTCTGTGGCAGGTGCTGTTCTCAGTGCTTGGCAAGTAATAACTCATTTAATCCTTACAACAACCCACGGAGTAGGTACTATTGTTATTTTTATTTTTTCTTATCCTCATTTTTACAGATGGAGGAATGGAGAGATTAAATTACTGGAACAAGATTCCTCAGCCAATTCGTATCTCAGAGAAAGGTGACGAAGTGTATGAAAGCCAGGGTAGGACAATACAAGGTGGCACAGAAACTGTAAGTATGGTTGGATGATTTTTTTTAAAATATGGAATTTATTTCTATAGCACCAATGTTACTATTTAATTGACAATAAAATAAAAAAACATGATTGTTTTTGTTGGTATAGCCATTGTATGAGCAAGAATACTCGAATACTGTATTGGAGTTATGAGGGAGTCCTGGGGGTTATTTTTCCACTTTGGGCCTTTATTCAGCTGTATTACAAATTAGTAGGTCATTGTAGATATTAGGTACCACTTTCACTTCAAAGTTATTAAATCTGGCCAGACATGATGGCTCACGCCTGTAATCCCAACACTTTGAGAGTCGGAGGAAAGAAGATCACTTGAGCCCAGGAGTTCGAGAACAACCTAGACAGCATAGTGAGATCTCATCTCTACAAAAAATAAATAAATAAATTAGCCAGGTGTGGCATACACCTGTAGTCTCAGCTACTTGGGAGGCTGAGGCAGAAGGATTGCCTGAGCCCAGGTGATTGAGGCTGCGGTGAGCTGTGATCATGTCACTGCACTCCAGCCTGGGCAACAGAATGAGAACCAGACTCAAAAAAACAAAACCAAAAAAACCTCAAAGATATCAAATCCTCTATTACCCACAATTTTTACTTAATTCATTGGTGAAATGAATGTTCCCTCTAGATTTTTGCCTTAGTTTCAGAAAGTTTCCGGGATCTGGCATTCCATTTGCAGCCTCCTCTACCTATGTTAGTACATTTATTCATTCCTTCATGGTCACCTTTTTTAAGGACAAACTTGCAAAAGGTGCCTTCCCAGCATCCCGCTGCCTGCCTCCACTCAATCAGCACAATTCTCTGTGTGCATTTTCCCCTGCACTATCAATGGTGTGGCAGAAAACTCATGGCATCCACAGGGATCTGGAATTAGTTCAGCAGAGCAGGAGTGTGGAGCGAGTGATGGGACAGGAAGCTGGAGAGGGAAGCAGGGGCCAGACAAGGAAGGGTCTTGAGCCTGGATCAAGGTGTTCAGGCACTGTCCTGAAGGCAATGAAGAATCCTGGGGGGTGGGGGTTTAAAATAAGAAGCATAGTCCAGGCTTCATTTTAGAAAGATCATTCCATCAAGTGGAGAATGGATTAGGGGACAGGTGGGGAAGTGGAGACAGGAAGACTTCCAGGTCAGAAGTCCAGGTCAGAGTAGCCAGGCTGACCCAGGAGAGGGGGCAGAGTGGACAATACATATGAGATACTCAGGCGGCAGGAGCAGCAAGACGAGGTGATGGGTTTGATGTGAAGTGAGGGACAAACAGGCACAAGGTGACTTCAAGATGTTGGGCTTGTATAACATAGTGGCTGTAGGCCCTCCCCTGACCACAGGGGGAGGGGCGGCTCTGGGTGAAGAAAGTAATGAGTAGCTACGTGTTGGACATGTTGAGTTTGTGGTTCCTGTGGGACATGCAGCAGCAGGTGTCCACTAGGCAGTTGAACACGTGGGCCTGGAATTCAAAAGCAGTATTTTGGCTGGAGATTGAGACCTGGAATTCTTGACATGAAAACAGTCATCAAAGGCATGCGGGTCCATGAGATGGCAAGCGAGTGCATCTAGGGAGTGAGAAGAGGAGCTAGACATTTGAGAGGACAGAAAAAGTCCTTGGCCCACTAAGAGGCAGAGAAGGAGCCAGCAGCCTGGCAGGGGACACTAGCAGCGTATGGCAGCATGGAGACTGAGAAGTATCCACTCGATGGAGGAGGTGGGTATCAACATGCCAGCTACTGCAGAGATGTCACATAAGGGATCAGCAACCAACAAGTTGGGCTGACCCTGGGGAGGGCAGTTTCAGGGGTAGTGGAGGGGGACAACAGACGCAGAGGTTTAAGAGTAAAAGGAAGGTGAGGAGGCAGAGAGAGGAAGTGGCACCATCTCTTTCAAGAAGGTGGCTGTGCAGGGGAGGTGAGAACATGAGGATTAGTCCAGGTGAGCTGTCATTGGCAGCTAGATCTGTTGAGATGGAAGAACAGCCCGGGAAGAAGCTGTGCCCAGGCTGAGCTCCGGCAACACCTGTATTCAAGGGCCAAGCAGAGAAAGAGAGGCTCAGAAAAGAAGCGGCAAGGAGCCCTTGGAGCGATGGGAGGAGACTGAGAGAGAGGGGATAGGAACCAGGTTGGAAAGGGAGAGATCTTCAGGGACC